GTGTTCATGCCGTGTTCATGGTGTGTTCATGGTGTGTTCATGGTGTGTTCATGGCGTGTTCATGCCTTGTTCGTGGCGTGTTCATGGTGTGTTCATGGCGTGTTCATGCCTTGTTCGTGGCGTGTTCATGGTGTGTTCATGGTGTGGTGTTCATGCCGTGTTCATGTTGTGTTCATGGTGTGCTCATGTCGTGTTCATGGGGTGTTCATGGCGTGTTCATGTTGTGTTCATGCCGTGTTCATGTTGTGTTCATGCCGTGTTCTTGGCGTGTTCTTGGCGTGTTCATGGCGTGTTCATGGCGTGTTCATGGTGTGTTCATGGCGTGTTCATGGCGTGTTCATGGCGTATTCATGGCGTGTTCATGGCGTGTTCATGGCGTGTTCATGGCATGTTCATGCCGTGTTCATGCCGTGTTCATGGTGTGTTCATGGCGTGTTCATGGCGTGTTCATGGCGTGTTCATGGTGTGTTTATGTTGTGTTCATGCCATGTTCATGCCGTGTTCATGCCGTGTTCTTGGCGTGTTCATGGCATGTTCATGGCGTGTTCATGGTGTATTCATGCCGTGTTCATGGTGTGTTCATGGTGTGTTCATGGCGTGTTCATGGCGTGTTCATGGCGTGTTCATGGCCTGTTCATGGCCTGTTCATGCCGTGTTCATGGCGTGTTCATGGCGTGTTCTTGTCGTGTTCTTGGCATTCATGGCGTGCTCATGGAGTGTTCATGGCGTGTTCATGGCATGTTCATGGCGTGTTCTTGGCAATTTCATGGCGTGTTCATGGTGTGTTCATGTTGTGTTCATGGCGTGTTCTTGGCAATTTCATGCCGTGTTCATGGTGTGTTCATGGCGTGTTCATGGCGTGTTCTTGTCATGTTCTTGGCGTTCATGGCGTGCTCATGGAGTGTTCATGGCGTGTTCATGGCGTGTTCTTGGCGATTTCATGGCGTGTTCATGGTGTGTTCATGGTGTGTTCATGGCGTGTTCTTGGCGTTCATGGCGTGTTCATGGCGTGTTCATGGCGTGTTCATGGCGTGTTCATGGCGTGTTCATGGCGTGTTCTTGGCATGTTCATGGCGTGTTCATGGTGTGTTCATGGCGTGTTCTTGGCGTTCATGGCGTGTTCATGGTGTGTTCATGGCGTGTTCATGGTGTGTTCATGGCGTGTTCTTGGCGTTCATGGCGTGTTCATGGTGTGTTCATGGCGTGTTTATGGCATGTTCATGGCGTGTTCATGGCGTGTTTATGGCGATTTCATGGCGTGTTCATGGTGTGTTCATGTTGTGTTCATGGTGTGTTCATGGCGTGTTCTTGGCGTTCATGGCGTGTTCATGGCGTGTTCATGGCGTGTTCTTGGCGGTGCGGCTGAGTCTGACATCATGTCGCTGACGTACGTTTGCTTCTAAATCCACACATTTCTGTCAATCTGCACCTGATTCAGTCTGGTCGAGCTACAGCAGTCCAGTTTTGGGTGGGCGTGGCCTAATTCCTCCACAGCACCTCCTACATKTATTTACATAATCAGCCTCAAGCCATGCTTTGACCTAGAATCATGAACTTTGCTACACGTGTAACRTCTCAGGAACTACAAGATTGTCTCAGAGTCATGGTCCAAACCCCACAGGAAGTGGGTCATTTTGGATCAAATCCTCCAGTGTGTCTGTTTTCTTGCACATGTAYGTGAGTTAACTCCCTCTGCAGCTTTACACCTGCAGACTTCACCTGCTGCAGGCTTCTGTTAACACTGACAGCTGGAGGGATGGTGTGGCTGTGGCWGAGTGGAGAACRCCTCACTGTTTGCACCTGTTAGCTCTGAGTCACACATACTGGATCTGATCTGCATCAGATTCTGTGTTAATCATCAGAAATACCTGCTCAACACTTGTGTAGTAGTTGTAGTACTCCTTCAGAAAGTTCAAACTAAAAGGAAAAGCTGGCAAACGACCGCACATGACCTAATTTTCTTTTGTATAACAAAACAAAAATGTGTAACAGTTTATGCATGCATTCATACATTTTCATCATTCTTAAATATGAGAAAGAAAATATTAATTTATTTATTTTGTGGTCTTGTAAAAGCCATTCAGTCGAATTATGATACAGGGCTTAAACTGATGCTGCTTTCAACAAATAAAGTGAACCAGAGACACAGTTGTGTGTTCTGATGTACTGTATGCAGGGATCCTGCAGATCCTTAAAAAGTCTTAAAAGTCCTTAAATTCATCAATAGAAAAAAAAGGCCTTAATTAGCCTTAAAAGGTCTTAAATCAATCTTCAGAAGTCTTAAAAATGTGAACACATTGTAATTAGGATGACTGTAATTCATCTCAAATATTAAAATAATTGGTAACATTTATTTATTTTTGAAATATTCACATTTAGACATTCTGTTTTGACATCACTTCCTGTTATTTCACATGCAAATATCTCAACAACTGTCCATCTGAGCAATGTGAAATTTGTTTTCTAAYATGTTAATAATGTTGTCTTTTCAAAAATGCATTCATATTTCTTACCAGAATTTTATGTCACGTGCACTTTAAGTTTTCATCTACAGCTAGCTGGGGCTGAGAACTCCAAATTTTGGGTCGTTAGAGGATTTCCAGGAATTAAATTGTTTAAAACTGACTGCTAAGAAGTTTTTTAGCTACATTTGACAAAAAAGCAGTTAGATGTGTATAAAAACATTTGGTCTATCAGCAATATTTGAATACTTCAACCAAAAATACTTTGATGCACAAGTTTCTGCCACAGTTTTAATATTTTTTGTAATTTGTGTTTATTGTGAAATTGGTCTTAAACTAAATTTCACCTGGCATTAAAAAGTCTTCAGTTGAACTTGCCTTAAACTGTAGGAACCCTGATATGTTGAATCAAGGCGCAGCAGTGTTGCCTGCTTAGTGACAGGTTTCAGCTGAAAGCTGGTTGTTGATGCAGCATCACCTCCTCCAACATCAGGGCTCAGAACAGGCTCAGGTGTAAGAAGAAATTCAGTCAAAATTCATTAATTGTTTTAGGGTTTTTTTTTCCTTTAATCTCTGAGGACAAACTAAATAAGCTGATTCACAGGTTTCTGTGTCATTAATGTGATGCACTTTAAAACAGAATTGAACCCACAACCCTGCTGTTAACATCTCTGAATGAATCTATTTTTTATTTCGTAGTGTGAAACGTGAGGACTACCTGAACACCTTTGAGTTCCTGGACAAGCTGGCGGAGAACCTGAAGATAAAGTTAGCCAAGCAGCCCAAACTGTGATCCCCTCCTGTACTTCTACACAGACACACACACAGACACACACAGATGTCTCTATAGGACCTGGGGTTGTTGGCTGAGCTCAGAGCTACAGGACTGATGGAGGAGGGTGAACTGACCACACTTATCCCTCTCTCTGCATCTTTATTAGACCAAAACTAAAACGTCTGAGTGTAAAAACATGATGCATGTAGTRTCAGTGACCTGATGACACAGGGCTCTTTGTACCCTGATTGCACTAACTTTGTGTGTTGTTGTTGATCTGTGATGAATCAGGAGGATGTTTGTGAAGGAGTATTTGGACCTTTACTGCCTTATCTTTTTTATTTGGTCAAAATCAAACCTCTGTTTCCTTCAGCTGTTTTATTAAAACCACAGCCATCATCATGTTTGAGTTTCTCTGAAGTAGATCAGTCAGCCTGTCTCTAACTGATGAGATGTCTGGTTCAGCTGAGTGTTGCACATTCCATGAAATATTAATAATATATAATATAATATATAGACCTTAAAGGCTCTGACCCGTTTCACATTGTAGCAGATACTTTGTAAACTGGTAATAAACTGAAATATTTGCTTTTAGATTTGTTTTTTGATTTTGTTTTAATCAATTTTAGTGTTAAAACTGCCAACAATAAAATGTCTGTTTTAAAACTAAGCTTGTCAATGATTTGATATTTCAATACAAACTCATTTTGATTGAGTGTAGGATGTAAAAAGATTAAACATGTCAATCAAATCATGATTTTATCTTAATTTTTTTTACATAAAATACAGTGCGAGTGTGTAAACCAAACTAATTCAGACCCTGTTAAGCCCTAAGGGGTTTTACAGGTAATTTCTGCCTGAAAATAAACAGCAAAATAAATCAAGAATAGCTCCACAGTTATAAGGTGTAAATGCTAACTCTTGGTACCTCTGTAAAGGTAAGATCTTAAAGATAATTTCTTAAGTGAAAACACTGAGGTGAAATAACCACGTCTTCTGGTTCAAGTGGAACTGCTGCTGCTCAATGAAGAGAGAAACTCTGAAACAGGCTGGTTGAACAGCAAGAATCTTTATTTTGCAGTCCAGGAGATTACAGCCAAAAACCAAATTATGGCCTTCAATGCCAAATGATTCACCAAGTAAGAAAGATGGAGAATGAAGGCCAAGGGTGGGGGCGTATAAGGCTCTTTATAGGCTTCACAGATGTACCATAAATTTTGTCACAGTATACCTTCTTCCTAATATGGTAATGCGTGCCGAGCTCTGAAGCTGGAAACTAAGAGACATCACATCTGCATTCCTGAGAAGAGGCCCCCCACTCTTGGACACTACACCACTATTGTAACTCTTACTGTGTCTGAGTTATTTCTGATTAAATAAAGAAAATTAGTAATTTTTTTAGCCCCGCCTAAATTTTTTTTAAATCAACAGTGTAAAACACAATGAAAACTCTTGTGAAAACCCAGGAATGCCTTAGATTTTATACATCTACATCTGGAGAATAATTGTAGCAAAGTAGGACTGAATAAGTTGAAGTATATTCATTTCACAAAGGTTTTAGTGAGCAGTGTGCCAGGCAGAAAGGGTATATAATTTAGCCAAATGTACCCAAAACTGCCAAATGTTTTTTTTACATTATAAAAGAGAATCTGGTTTAATAAAAGTGTTGATTTCTATTGTAGGACTCATTCTGCATATGACATAAGCTTTACATTTACACTGTGCATCATCAAAATCTACGATCATACTCTTCACCCACACGCCAACAGAAACGTAACTCCGCCTCCATGTTTTACACATGATGTCTGTTATTTACACTCTGTTACGCACAAACTTCACGTCACCCAACAAAGAGAAACACAGTGTCAAGATATATCCCTGAATTCATGAGAGCTTCATCTTTTCAAAGAGACCAAAGGGAGGGGTATGGAGCCAAACTTGCACAGTAACAGAGGCAGAGAACTTCCTGATACTGAAACGGTCTGCGACGGTTCTAGTAACTTACAAATGTTTATATAGCTTTAAAATCATAAATATTTATCCAAAAATAATTTGGNAATCTAAACAGCTTGTATGAAAATACAAATACTTATTTATACTTATTTTGTGTTTTTGTCATAGTTATAGGGAAAATATTACATAAGCAATTATTTTATTACCCTTTAAATTGATTTCTGGAGATTATCCAAGGTGCTTCATGACCCATAATAGGGTCCCAAGTCCAACTTTGGGAACCAAAGTGCAGTGGTTCCCAAACTTTTCAGCTTTTGACCCACAGAATAACAGTAGCAGAGACCTGAGCCCCCAACTGTTTTTGGATGATAAACATTTGTATCAGGTCAACAAACATGGACATAGTAACAATATTTTTATACTACATTTATCCATTTTATATATACTAACCTCACTCCTTTGTAACAACTAAGGCAAAAATGTAATTAATTCAGAAAATCTTTTCTGGACCCCACCTTGATGTTTCGGGACCCCACTTTGGGTCCCGACCCCAACTTTGGGAAACACAGGTGTAGAGCATTGAGGCGATGCTTTTCAAATACATTTATTAGTTTATCATAATCGTTGTGAACATCTCTATGAAAGCAGGAGTTTTGTCTTTTAGCTGATGTGAATCAACACAAAGACATGTTTACTTTATTCACAGAGCACCTTTAAAAACAACAAAATGCTCTACAGGCTCAGAACTGTTGCTTCCATCCATCCTGCAGGGCTGAAGTCATTTACAAACTAGTTCAACATTCAACAATTATTGAAAACTGAAAAGTTATGGAAGGATTATCCTGACTATAATCAAGAGCGTATACTTTCAGTTTGAGAGSAGAATAATATGTTTTTGTTCTCAAAACTTAAAATGCTCGCACTCAAAACCTCTGCTCTCTTTGAAATACGCTCTGCTCTCTCTCAAACCTTTCCTTTCTCGCTCAGAATTTCTCCTCACGCTCAAACATCCTCTGCACAAATCCAAACTGYGCTCYCACGGATCACTTTTCTGCTTGTGGATTTTTTCTGCTCGCTCACGAGTACCGTCTCCTAGCAACCGTTCCAGCCAATAGAATGAAGGCATTAAACTGGGTGGAGACAGCCTCTCTGGGGTGTGTTTGTTTCCGTTCAGAGGATGTGCCTGTGTGTGTGGATGCATAGATTGTTGTATGATCTGCTCTTGACTGGTTATTTTGTTTTATTTTTTAACACCAAAAACGAAAAAAAAAATGTCTGTTTGTTCATATTTCAGTTTTAGGCTCAGATCAAAAACACGAAACAGAATATCAGGCACTGGGACATTATTTGATTTCAATATTTAATTTGTCTATTTTCTGTGACCCAGAAGTTTGATAAGGAGCATCAGCAAACAACCAATGTTAGCTCGTCCACACACTTGGTGGAAGAAACGTTAGCTTGTCACCTGCTACTATTAGAAATAAATAGTTCTACATCAATGCCTGTGCCACAGTCAAAGGACCATATGAGCCGTGAATAGTTGTGCAGGGATAGATTTAATTTTTTAAATGAGGAAAACAAGACTACAAAGTGCAAACACATAATAGGCTACATACTAAATATCATATTTATTGTTGAAATCAATCATTCATACAATACCCTGATCAATATGTCTGCACTGGTTTATAACATTATGCACATTAAAAATGTTTAAGGCTCTTTCTGGTATTCTCTCCATGCAACTGTTTACAGCTCTGCTCAAACTTACCTTCAGATCTACAACAACATATTACTGTTTCCAGGATTTAGCAGATGTCAGTCTGTCTGCTCTTTCTGTCTGCTGTCAGAATAAAATACAAGCTGAACGGCAAAGTTAAAATAAATAAATTATATTTAAAAAAAATTTCAATGACTTGAAAGAATATGTGTCTGTATATGCTTTGAATGGACACCTGGGATGAATTATTTTCTGTAGAAAGACAAATAATTCTATACTTCATTTTGGTTTCCCATGTGAACTGAGTACATGTTTAACCCAGTGGTTCTCAACTCTGGTCCTCATGACCCACTATCCTGCATGTTTTAGTTGTTTCCCTGCTTTGGCACACCTGATTTAAATGAATGAATGATTGACAGACTTCTGCAGAACTCAAAGACCTGCAGATGGGACACAACAAAAACTAGACATGGGTTTTTACGATGTAAAAACAAGTGTGCATTGCCATGTAGCATGTCATTGCAGCACGGCTTTGCCTGCAGCATTGGAGTTGCAGAAGGAACTTTGACCAAGTTCAAATGTGTTTTCTATWCCAGCTTGTACCTGTCACRTCAGCAGGTGTTTGTAATTAAGGTAATTGACAATATGAAGTTGAAGGAGATTTTTTGTTAAAGTTGCATTAGCTGTGTTTTGAACCCTGATCTCCCACATGGAAGACCATGACATAGACCATTAGACCAATGGAGCTGTGGCAGAAGATGGTGCCAGGGGTTGGTTTGTATGTGTGCAGAAAGAGGCCACATTGCCAATACAATTATTGACACTAAACTGCATAATATTAAAACAATAGAGCAGTATTAAGACAATATTATAGTAAAACATCAAAATACAATCATATTAGTATTGTAAACACTGAACTATTGAGATTAAATACAAAAAATTATGGTGCAGTACCAAGTTGAGTACAGCTGGGGGCAGTATTGGACCATTACAAGGTCCCATTGACTTTCAATATATGAATTGGGAATAAAGTTTAAACATTAATATTTCAAAAACTACAAGTTGTACAAGTACCAAAATGCACAGCAATCATTTGGCACAGGACCTTTACAGATAGAAATTACAATGGCAGCTGTAGGA